ATACGGTGGCCCCTTTCTGGTCCCGTGGTAGCAGCCCAACACAATACGTGACAGGTCCGATAGGGCGGCCAACACCCTTAGCGCACCTAACATATCAGTGGGGGCCTGCCTGACGCGGCCCCATTTTTCTCGTGGGCGGAAAAAAAGGCGGCGCTTCCCTTCCCAGCGTACCGAGTACAGCGGCACGGGACGGGACCGCCTCGTCGTGTTTGATCCGTTAAGCAACCAAGCCCGGGCGGACTAGCTAAAGTGCTAAACACAGCACTACTGCCGGGCGCCCGGCGCCGGGGTTGGTCATCCAATGGCGACCACACACCACCACAACTGGCATGAAAACAGATGGAAACGAGCGGAAAAACTCATCTCCTATTCCCGTTTCTATATTTTTAGCGAAAACAGAATCGGGTTCGGGGAAAAAACGGAACGTGATTTTTTCGGTCCGTTTTCAACCTTAAACCACGCCTGTTGACCCAGCTGACGCGCGCGCGCCCTGTGGACTCGACTCGACCGACCCAGAGTTTGACATCTGCTCTCCTGATCGCCGGCTGGCTCCCGTCACTGCACTCCGTTCATCGGTCGTCCACCAATATGCTACCACTGCGACCTCCACTTCGAAAAGAGGGGGCCCGGCTCCACCACCCTATATATATAGTTCACCAAGTTAGAGCAACCCACTTATATATAGATAGATACATCGATTTCAGCTGGCCGGCCCCTTTTTAGTCTTTTATATATGTAAGTATACACACGCTAAACTAGTTGGCGCGATCGAGGGGGCTGGTGTAGTCTGGTATACTCATATACATGCATGCATCCATGTCAAACGAGCTGACTGTTCTGTGCCAGTGCCATAATGGTTATGTGCTTTTTGACGAAGTCTATATGTGTGGCTTGTTCTAAAGTTGCATCAAGGTATGCGTCAGTGACGACCGGCGACTTGAATATTTGGTGCCTTCTCATGATGAATTGGAAAACCACGTTCAAGTAACTTTGATTTTCGACCAGCTTGTTCGAGGTGATTGATGATCTATCGGTGATGGGAATTTAATTTAACTCCTTCAGCGTGCCCACTGCGACTTACAATAGTCCGTGGTAGATATGGGCCACTACCGGCCTGACTCCTGAAATTACCTTAAAGGCCAAGAATTTTCTTGACTGCCAAAACAAAACCGTCAAAGAAAGTGTAGTTCCTTTGGCCAGGGACGTAGACCTCCAAGAAAATATTATTGAGTGCTAAACCAAACCGCCAAGGTATTGCTCATGTTTCCTTGAGTGTTTTTATAAATCATCGAGGTCATTGCTCTTTACCTTGGGTGCTATTTGAAACCATCAAGGCAATTCATATTTCCTTGAGTGCTATTCAGAACCACTAAGGTAATTCATATTTTCTTGGGTGTAATTGGAAACCACCAAGGAAGTACTCAGATAGCTTTGAAATTCATTTTTTTTAAATTTTCCAAATGACCTCCAATGGAAATATGACCTAAACCAAAATTATAGTATTTGACGAGATATAAAACTCAAATATTTATTACAAGATTCAATAAAGTGAATACAAAAGAAAAGAATAAATTCACTTAGTCACAAGTAACTTTGAGGTGTAGTGGTCACTACTACATAAAAAATTAACCAAGGTGTTTGGTTTTTTTGGCTCCGAGGAGGTTGGGCCGGTTGCCGGCCTTGGTTATTCGTGGTCGAGCAGCCAGCCCCGCAAACTCCTCGGTTAATGCTTAACTGAGGCGGGCGGCCTAACGTAACCGCCTCAGTTAATATTGATTAACCGCGGCGGTTGCCATAACACAACCGCCTCGGTAAATCGATTTATGGAGGCGGTTGTCTTAAGAGGCCCGCCTCAAAAAATGGAGGCCATTTTCAAAGGCGGGCCTCTTAAAAGGACCGCCTCCGTAAATATTCCCGAGGCCCAGCCAAAGCCCAATACAACTCTCTACCGGGCTTATATAAATTGAGGACTTAGGGTTTCTCAGCTCGCCCTCACGCCCCCACGTAGCGGCACGCCTCCCTCCCTCCACTCTCTCCCTCCCCTCCACTCTCTCTCCCTCCCTCGTCGGCGCTCGCAGCTCGGCGGCGCCACCCCCTTCCCTCCCTCCCGACGGCGGCCTATCCCTTCCCTCCCGGTGGCGCTCCTCCCCTCGTGGATGGTAGCTGGAGGTGCAGATCCGGTGGCCGAAGCTCCTCCCCTCGCGCATGGCGGTTGGAGGCACATATCCGGTGCCCGGAGCTCCTCCCCTCACAGCATGGTGACTGGAGGTGCAGATTCGACAGCCGGAGCTCCTCCCCTCGCGGCTGGAGGCGCAGATCCGATAGTCCGGCGAGGATGCAGGCACCGGTGGGCGTCGGCAGCGGTGCATGGATGGGCTCGACGCCGGGCCCTAGATGGGCTCACGTTTGGGCTCGTCGTTTTTTTTTCAATTAACCGAGGTGGGCAACTGGTCCGCCTCGGTACATCATTGATTTACCGTGACCTTTAGGCCGAGGCGGACGGGTTGCCCACCTCGGTAAACCCTTTTTGCCCGCCTCGGTTAAGTTTATCGTCGTAGTGGGTAACTGTGCTTCACGCGAAGCTAGGCTTTCAATTGTTATTTTCTGCTCTTGCTTTATATTTCCTTGGAGGTTGCTGGCTCTCAAGGAAACTAATTTTCTTGGATGTTTTCTCATCACTTTGGCAAATTAGGTGTGGTCCTTGTTTCCTCGACAGCCAACCTTTTCAAGAAAATCATCCTTGAATGCCAAAACTGCAAAGGAAAATAATTTTCCTTATCATCTATCCTTCATGGAATTTGCTTAAAGGTTTATAGCCAAGGATTATTTTCTTGGTGGTGACCTTTCAGCTTGCCTCAATATGGATGTAGGTGATGGACAAGTCAGCGAACCATGGGGGGATATATTATTGTGTCGTCCTCTTGTGTGGTTTGTTCACGTACTCTAACTTGTGTTTTACTTTGTGCTCTTAAATCATAGTGTAAAGATATTATGTTTTGTCATATACTAGGGTGCTTACCTATCTAGTTTACCAATTCTAGTGCCGTAGCTTAGTTGCTTCATTCTATTCTAGAATTGTGTAGTCTTTATCACCCTAGCTTTGCAAGATCATCACTAGAAGTAGTGCTTATTAGGGCCATCTTGTTATCTAACATGTTTGCCTAGTGTTTGTACTTTGTAGAAATTTTAATTACGCTATTCACCTCCCTCTAACCATCCATAGATTCTTTCAAGCATGTATTATCCATCAGCATAAGTCTGCTTATGGTCCGATTCTATACTATTTTTGGCGTCGTTAAAAATTTGTATTAGTAAGTGCATCATGCATTATCTGCTCCACTTGGAATCTGACAAAATAAAATAGATTAGAATATGGAGAAGACATTATATGCTGTGTTTTCATCCCTAGTCTTTGGGTTGCTTCACACAAGTGGGCTTAGCGCAAGAGCAACAATAAAGCGAAACTAGGGCCATTTCTCTCAACATACCAGTCCAACAGGTGTATTCCCTTACACTTATGAGTTGTGCTACTTCATATTGTACAAGCAATGTGGGCTGAGATAACAGGCGCGCTTGGTTCCTCCGCCAGGCACTGTGGCACCTTGTCGAGCGAGGACAACAAGCAAGGTGGTGCGTTTGGGCTCGCTTGGCTGGGCAAGGTCCTCGTTTCCCATGCGGCAAGGCGAGGCGAGCGACTAGGAGAAACCAAGCACGCCCAACAAGCAAGCCAAGGTGTACGTGTCCGCTTGCGTACTATTTTCGTTTTGAAAAAAAAAAAACGAATTCTATCCCAATCGGTTGTTGGTAGGCACACGTCTTCTCGCAGCTGGCCAGATAGGCGCGTTGTCCTACACGATTGACTCTCGTCACATTCCCAAAAACCTAGTACTTCCCCCCTCGTGGAAAGCTAACAGTACCCCACAGCACAGTAGAGAGCACCCACCCCAACTGGCCCCTGCGCTGCGCCGGCCGGGGCTGTCGTTCTCTAGGCATCACATACGGATGCCCAGATTTCGCTGCTGCTCCCACCGTTCACACGCGACCGCGCGCTGCCTGCCTTGCTTGCCTCGTGTGTGCGTAGAGGTGGGACTTGGGCACGGCCCTCTCGCGCACGGGAGACACGTCGGGCCATGCCAATATGGAACGATGAATCTTTTTTTCGGTCCAAGCACGACCCGTGGCACGCCGACACGTCTTCGGGTCGTGCCGGCCCAAACATAGTTCTCAAAATATCTTTGTTAGTTTTCTTTTTCCTCTCGTGGTATATATATATATATATCTTGTGTATACGAGAGTTTAATGATTTTCATAATCTATTCAAGAATTAGATAAGAGGTAGTATAGTAAATGTTAAAAAATTACATTGTATAGTTGTATAAGTGTCTGTGTGCTATTTTCGTGCTATGCCGGTCCAAGCACAGCCCAAGATGTGGGCGGGTCATGTAGCCCGTCGTGTCGAGATTCTAGGCATGGCACGACCCTCGTGTTCGTGTCGTGCCGGCACGGTCTAAACTATTTCGTGCCATGCCGTGCTTCAGATCGTGCCAAAAAAAATCGTGCCACGACCCGACATCAAATGACACTGCCCAGGTCCCAGCTGTGCGTGTGCGTTGACACCGGCCGCGTACGTGTAGTACCTGATGAGCCCTTCCAACCTTCAAAAGGCCGCACACAGCACGCTCCAAAAGCACATCGATCATATAAGGAGAGCAACACCAACGGCGCACCAACCTCACCATTTCCCTCTCCCTCTCCTTCTCCCCGGCCGCGCACCGCACACCGTCCCCCGGCCAGTTTCTCCTCGGCCGTGACATGCACGCCTTGACATAGACGGCCCTCGCTCTTGTTTCTTCTTCTCCACACCACCAAACCCGGCACATACATCATCAGGCCGCGGCTAAGATATAAAGCACACCGCACACTTCTCACGCTGCCAAGGCGTATCATACAGAGCGAGGGAGCAAATTGATCGATCTATGGTGTTGAGGGCTTGCGCAATAATGGAGGGTACTTTCAGCGTGCCGTATTACGAGTGGCTCAAGCCACGGTCGTCGTCGTCATCGCCGCCACCGTCACCATCCTCCTCCTCGTCGACGTCTTCGACGACGCTCTCAACGCCATCGATGGACAAATTAGCCGCCGTTGATGGCCATGATGAGCGCCACACCATGACGTGCTTGCCGCTTCTTGGTAGGCTTGAAGGGAGGGCAACGACTCCTGATCGTGGCCATAATCCTATCAAAGAGGAGCTGAGCATCGGCACGCGGGAAAAAGAGGCCGCCGGTGTTGACCTGAACATCGGCTTGCCGGCGACTGGGGGCGGTAGTTCTGAAGAGGCGCCCATGGACGAGGAAGACGACGATGAGGAGGAGGAGGATTTCGAGGAGGAAGAGGACGACGACAAAGCAGGGAGGCATGAGAAGTGCAAGGTGGAAGAAGAAGCGGGCGGCGGAGAGCCACAGCACGGTGAGATGGTGATGGAGTCCGTTGTTGAGAGATCCGATTACCTGCGTGTGGGTGGGGAGGAGGGCATCAAGGGCTTCATCGGCAGCCGCGGCCGGCGGTACTGGATCCCGACTCCGGCGCAGATACTCGTCGGCCCAGTGCAGTTCATCTGTCATGTCTGCAGCAAGACATTCAACAGATACAACAACATGCAGGTGACTTATTAGCCCATACTACTATCTGTCCTGTCTCATTTGCAGCACGGTTTTATTAATTGCTGTCTCTTTATCCTCTCTTCCTCAATCAGAGTTATTTTCTGTTTCCAATTGCGTTGAATGCCTTTTTTTGCAAAAGAAAGCTGTGAGTGCTTCTTCCAAGTTTCAAGTACAAGTGCTACTTGACTTCATTTAAATTAACCATTTGATTAGTTAGCACACTACTCTTGAGTGAGAGGGACAGAAAATGCATTTAGAATCTAAGATTCTAAATTAATCACCCCAGTCCCCAGCTGCGCCTAATAATTGAAGCATGTGGATCGTGCATATTCCACAGAAATTTGTACGAGAGCTTTCCAATTGGAAAAGTGGCTATATATTGCCTCGTCGCAGCGATCTGCAGGAACATGCGATGCGAGGTGGCCACAGGACAAGGTGCACTCGTAGAGGAGTGTGTGTAAACTGAACAGGCATGCATGGTAGAGACTAGAGACCGACAAAATGGCTGGCATCTCCTACTTGCATGCTCAAGCTTGCTGCAGAATGACCTAGCAGGTAGCTAGCAAGTGTTTCATGTGTACCCGCAAGGAATCAAATGAAAAAGACGAGCTAGGGAATTAACTGATTAAACCCCACTACCTAGCTCTTTGCCGACATATCACACTTAATTCACACACATTTTCCCTTGATTATCTCCAACATGATGACAAGGACAAATCCGTTCTAGTGCTGCAACGAACATATTCGTCGTTTACTTAAGTTCACGTTCGTTGATTTTTAACACGCCTGCTACTAGGATCTATATATTTTCCTTCACTTATATATATATATATATATATATATATATATATGTGGCATCTCAACGCTGATACAGAGCATGACGATATATGTGCAACAGATGCACATGTGGGGCCACGGGCGCGAGTACCGCAAGGGCCCGGAGTCTCTCAAGGGCACGCAGTCGGCGACGCTGGCGCTGCTCAAGCTGCCGTGCTACTGCTGCGCGGCCGGGTGCCGCAACAACGTGGCGCACCCGCGCGCGCGCCCGCTCAAGGACTTCCGCACGCTGCAGACGCACTACAAGCGCAAGCACGGCGACAAGCACTTCGGCTGCCGCCGCTGCGGCAAGCCCTTCGCCGTCAAGGGCGACTGGCGCACGCACGAGAAGAACTGCGGCAAGCGCTGGTTCTGCGCCTGCGGCTCCGACTTCAAGCACAAGCGCTCCCTCAACGACCACGTCCGATCCTTCGGCGGCGGCCACTTCTCCGTCACGCCCGACCAGCAGGCGGCCACCGCCACGGCCGTGCCGCCGCCGCTGCTGATGAAGCCCAAGGAGCGGATCATACGCTTCGATCAGGGAGCGGCGCCATGGAATGGAGCCCACGCCCATGCATGACATAAGACAGGTTATTAACAGGGAATAGAGTTCTTACATCTCAGTTCCAACATGATTATGCATATATACTACTTGGAGGCGTACAGAGACACAAGCAATAAGACTCGAGATCGATCGAGGCTGCTTTGGACTTGGAGGCTGTGAAGTAGATGAATTTTCTTCCGAACTAGCTAGCTAGAGTTGTTCGGATTGGAGGGGATATATAATTAGTTTATTTCCCCCCAATCTTTATGGAGAATGGTTTATCCAGACAAGCCAGAGGAGGAGCTTCAGAGACTTCTACGGTTATTGGCTCTATACCTATAGGCTATAGCTATATTTGCAAGGGAGAAAATTTCTCAGCTTCACAGCATGCCAATATTTAGGCAACCATGTATCATCATATAATGCATGCATGCAGCGTGCATGACATAACTTTATGAAATTTAGTGCACGTGTTAATTATCTAAGATCATTCCATGGTGTAAGTCATTCGCAGAATTATCCTGTTTTTAAATTATTTTTTACATGAATTTCATCTTTCTCATGCTACCATCATCAGTTTCTCATGCAGTTTAATTTTTTTTTTGAGGAATGCAGTTTAATTATGTTATCGACCTTCATCTCTCAAGAGGCAAAATAACAACCTTTACGTATGTGTTGGGATGAAATTTAGTTTATATGTTCCACTTCAATCCACCTCAACACATTTGGATTGATCCAAACAAGGCCTAAAGCTATGAAATTACACGTTAGTAACCAGATGAAAATAAAGCAAAAATAACTCTGTCCATGTTGGTAAATTTCCCGGCATGGCTATTATGCAATAATTATTTTAAAATTTAAACCAAATACTCCTGTACCTAAATCTGTATTACAAACAATGGAGCCAACTTCTATGAAAAAACACAACATTCTTTGGAAGCATAGTTTTTGTTGCATCCGAAATGCATCAAGAGTTTAAATATGCAATTCAAACATTTTTTATGTAAAAAGTAACTAAAATATAAAAATATTTTAGTATATACTTAAAAAATGAAAACACAACAAATAATTCAAGGTGACAAGAAATGGTACAAGAGAATCGGCGGCCTATTCTCTCCTAGAAAGAAAAGCACACCCTCTCAATAAAAACACACACAAAGAGGCAGGTTTAAGGTCCCGTGTGTATAAATGTCCATGCAGCCCAAGGCACGACGGCACGGCACGAAGCCCGTTTTTTTAGCCCGACGCGAGTACGGCACGGCCCGGTGACATGCGGGCCTGGGCTGGCCCGGCCCGAGATAGCAGGCCGTGCTTGGGCCGCTGCTCAGGCCCGTGGGCTGGCACGGCACGGCCCGGCTTGCGTCAGCCGGCCTGGCAGCGGCCCGTTCACCCCCTTCCCCCTCCCCCTCCTCACTCCCCTCCTCCCCTCCCGGCCTCCCCGCGGCCCAGCGCGCTGCTCGGCCCAGCGTCCGTCCCCGCCTCCCCCTCCTCATATATAACGCACGCCGCGGCCACGGCGGCTCACACCCGAAAGGCCCCACGCCGTCGTGCCCCTCCCCTCCTCTCCCCCACGCCCCTCCTCTCTCCCACTCCGTCGCGCCCCTCCTCTCCCCCACGCCGTCGCGCAGCCGCACCCGCACCCCTCCTATCTTTTGGCGTTTCCCATCGAATCCGGTGTGGCCACCGGGGTGTGCCCGTCGGTCATCGCCGTCGCACTCACCTCGTCGAGACCCGCGCCCGTCCTCGTCGAGCCTCGTGACGATGGAGTCCACGGCCGGATCTCGGGCGCACGGTGGAGTCCGCAGCCAGATCTCGGACGCGCGGTGGAATCCACGGCCAGATCTCGGGTGCGCGGTGGAATCAGCGGCCGGATCTCGGTCGCCCCACCTCCGCTTATGCACCAGTGGAGGAGAAGATGGACGGTGCTGGCAAAGAAGTGGAGGGGCATCGACGGTCGTTGGAGGAGGTGATGGAGCGACAACGACGTGGTGGGGCGACTGGAAGAGATGACGAGAGGCGCCAGCAAGGGGTGGGGGCTGCGGGCATAGGAGAAGACGAGGAGCCACGGCTGACCCCGCGCCTCGACCTCGTCCTCTGTCCTCTCTCCCTTCCCCTGCTGATGCGGGCTTCGGGCCGGCCTGGCCTGTTAAAAAGGCCGTGCTTTCTGGGCCGGCCCAGCATGGAAAGTGGCCCGACGGGCCGTGCCTGGGCCGTCGGCTAGGCACGGTGGACTGGGGCGGCACGGCCCGGTGGCCCGTCATGCTCTACCGTGCCGTGCCCTACTAGGCCGTGCCTGGCATGGGCCCGTGCCGGGCCGGCCCGGGCGGCCCGAATGGTCATCTTTACCCGTGTGGTAGAACTCCGGCCTATTCTAGCTCTCTCTTCTCCGTGCACTATAGTAAGGATTCATTTTTTCTCTATTCTTAAGATGAACTAGGAGCTGCTAAAACCACTATTTTTAGCTTCTCCCACTACAAGAAACTTGTTAATCCATGATGGATTCTTGGTGACGGATTTACAAATCGTCACTGACAGACACAATCCGTGACGTTAATTTATTTTTCGTCATGGTTGTGCACTAGTGGATATTCCCTGACCGCTAATTCGTGACGGTTTTATCCGGATCGTCATAGCGTATGATTTTAAAATCATCATACTCTAGTTAGCCCAAAATAATAGGCCAGTTATCAATATTTAGTGCAAAGAAATATAAATAATATGATTGCAAAGAGAATCGGTATCGGCTCCAGCTCCTCCATGCACTGTAGCAAGGAGCCGAATACAGAGCCGTTTGGAGCCATGCCAAACGGGTCCTAACTGCATGTTGACCCCTCCATAGCAGTAGATGGCAAATGGATTGGTGTCATACGAAAAATGATAGACCGATGGAGTAAGACTTGCTAATGTTAGAATTGCAACCACTTACACCGAAGGAATAATGCCAATATGGGGCCATACAGAACATGACACGTGCATGGAAAAATATAGGAGCATATATATATACAAGCTATTTTAGCAACCTTGAACACCATAACTAGGTATATATCTTGGCACCAACGAAGTGGTAGAGTTTTTTTTTCTCGAATACTGTCGACAGAATATCGTCGGCAGTCCTCCGAAGGGTCTCCCACGAAGGTAGATTGATCGGTAGAGGAGCGTGAGATCAAGAACAAGAAGGCAACAGAGACACACGAGTTAGATAGGTTCAGACCATCAGTATGACGTAATACCCTACTCCTGTGGTCTGTTGGTTTGTATTAGCTATCGTATGATATCGCGTGAGTTTGGAGGGGGTCCCTGCCCGCCTTATATAGCCCAGGGAGCAGGGTTACAAGTCGGTTAGATCTAAGAGATAACCGAAAAGTAATAACTGATTACAGAAATCTTGGGATCATACATATCCTAACAGATCTTGTAGTATCTTCAGGATATCTTCCAGATGTCTTGCGGGAGCCGCTGAGCAGAGTCGTGCCCCGCAAGGCGTCGTCTTATGGGCTGGGCCGCCCCTGGGGGCGCAGCCCATGTGATCTACCATGGGTATCCGGGGTCGTACCCCCCACAGCTAGTTCCCGAGCGCCTTGTACCCGTTGTGCAACGCCGTTTTGCGCTTGTCTGAGCAGTTGCGAACAAAGCCGAGCAGTAAAACTCATGATCCGACCACCGTGATGAGTTGTCGAGCAGTTGCGAGCAGTTGCCGAGCAGCGCGGACCACAACCGAGCAGTATGATCCAAACATGTCTTGCCATAAGGGTGTAAAGAGCTCAAGTTCAGAATCGAAAATTTCCTCACAGTGGACCAAGTGTGCCCACTTAGAGTCCGACCACGAGAGTAGGAGATAATCGTCTTCAGCCTCAAGGAGCACGAAGTCTTCTAGCAAAAAGCCAGCACATTCATCGCGAGGTGATGTGTGCCCACTTAGTCCCCGAGCCTGACAATAGATGACGTAGTCATGTGGTGCCAGGGTCCAAAGCAGAAGAAAAATAAAATACCGGTTGAGCAGGCAGCCAGTCCTCGGGTGTAGACCCGAAAAGCACATTCACCGCTAGGTGAAGTGTGCCCACTTAGTCCCCGAGCCTGACAGTAGGTGATGGAGTCACATAGTGCCAGGGTCAGAAACAAAGAAATAGCGAAAAGACCAGCCGAGCAAGCAGCCAGTCCTCGAGCCGCAAGCGGAGGTATCAGAGGAGTCCAACCATGGAGAGAAAACCGGAGAAATGGTTGTACAGTAACGGTTACTGAGCCTCAATAAATGGCGGAGAAGTCGGCGATTAACAACTGACGACGGCGATAAATGAGCGACGTGGGCTGCGGTTGCGTGAAAGCCCAGGTTACGGCCCATTAAGCCACGCCGGAGAATTCAGAGGGGCGCAAGTCGCGGGAACGGTTCCCCAAAAACCCTCGAATGCGAAAGGATGGGGAAAGTGCTTTATAACTGCGCCACCGCATCCCACATTCCCACCTTTGCCACTCTGCCATTCCGTCTTCATCTTCAAACCTCGCGTTTCTAGATTCCCTTCTAGATTTACTTCCGCCGCCGAATCCCAATCACATCGGAGAGATGGCGCCGAAAAAAGGAGCTGCCAAATCGAAGAAAACAAGCCCCAAGAAGGCGAGTGCCGGCACTCGGCGGGATGAAGAGTGGGTGCCGTCATGAACGGGAGAGGCGGAGCTTAACAGATTGGTGGAGGCTGGCGTACTTCCTGACCGTGCGACTGCCGAATGGCGACCGGCCCTCGGCGAGTCCTTCCCAACACCTCATACCGATGAAGTGGTGGTATTCGAGGATTATTTCTAGCGTGGGTTGGGATTTCCTGTTCATCCGTTCCTGAGGGATCTACTGGAGCTTTGGGTGGTTAGTCTGTGCAACCTCCATCCCAATACCATTCTGCACATCCCAATCTTCATCCACTTTTGTGAGGCATATCTCGGAATCCTCCCCCATTTCAACCTATTTCGTTACCTGTTCTGGCTGAAAAAGAGAGGCGGAGGTGGTTCCAAAGTGGTCGGCGGGGTGTACCTTCAGCTACGGGATGGGA